AAGAAGCACAGCAAACCTCCTCCCTGCTCTTGTTTTTGGGTCTTTGTTCAGGAGGTGATGTCTCCCTGCACTTTTGCAGTGTTTTCTCCTCTCTAATGGCCAAAGATCTGAGAGCCCCTTGGTGGAGACCTTGATGTCACGGGCTGTGGTGGCTGGTGCCAGAGGGTGCCCTGTGCTAGCAGACCTGTGAGGCATTGAATCTCAGGTCCAGGCATGCTCACAATTACCCAGCACTGGGGTGGGGTCTCCCACAGTTTTTCCTGCAGCTCTGGTTACTGGTTTATCCCTGTATTCTCTTATATCTCCAAAGGAATGCACCTCTGCCATGGTGGCTGGAAGAAAGGTTTATAGCTAAACTTGACAAAGCAAGGCAGTGAAGGCAAATTGCTAAATCTGAACAGGTCTTGGTCCTCCCTGAATCAGTGTCTCCTGCCTACCTCCTGACTGAAGCTCTTTGCCTCTGACACTTGCACTGCAACTCTTCCCTCTCCTTGTAACAAATGATGCCCACTGCCTGGGTTTTACCCAAGCCAGCTCTTAATAATTTTCTGCAGACTGGATTTTATGAAGCTTCAATCTATGCAAAATTGTGTGTGCTCGTGTGCTTGAGGCTTTGGTTTTCAAATAGCTGTGTTATTTTTTGTGTTGCGTTACTTGCTATTGCCCTTCCTAAACAAAAGCTCATCAGAGCTGCCCACATATGAAGTGCCAGAAAATGTAAATAATATAATGTAATATATATGTAAATAACATCTCATTTTGTATCAGCAAACCCCTTGCTTTTGTATCTAGAGGTTGTCATAGAATGTTTTGGTTTGGAAGGGACCCAAACATCACCCAGTCTCAACACCCCTGAAATGAGTTGGTACATATTTAACTAAGTCAACTTGATGAGGGCCCCATTCAGCCTTGAATGTTTTGAGGCACAGGACATCTACCATCTCTCTGGGCAATTTGTTCCACTGTTTCACCACTTGTGTGGGCATAAGTTCTGTGTTAGCTGAGTGTAAGCCTAATAGCTCAGGGTAACTCCTCCAGCAGTTTCTGTCAAGCTCTTTGCTGCAATATGTGTTAAAACCAGGCTGCTTCCCAAAGTCAGGGAATCAATCAAGGGAGAAGGTTTGTTTCCTTATCCTTACCATTTCTTCTTACCTATTAAACCTAATTAAAACAAACAGAGATATGTGTAAAATCATGCCTTACCTGCCATTCCACTTCTGTTGGTATCAAAGGAGTTAAAAGATAATTTGATCAAGATGGCCCCTGGGAGGGCTCATATATGAAGGCATATTCTCTGCAGTCAAGAGTGTCATATGGAATCAGATCATTGTCCAAAGCTTTGATGAAAGCTTGCAGTGCTTGTGCAAGGAGATCCCTCCATGGCTTTCACTGCTCTGATGTGTAAATCACAAGTAACAATCACAGGCAGTACAACAAGCTGATTTGGAGGTGGTTATGTGCAATAGCCTTGTCTCGTGGCCAAAAAAACTCTCTGTCCTCTGCACTGGGGGGGATGGCAGTGTAACTCAGACCAGCAAGGTGCAGCTTGGGTGAGGCTGACTCTGTATGTACCCTTGTCCTGCAGGAGTCTCATATTTAAGGCAAATCTGAACTGGCATATTGTTCCTATAACTAATCTTTAATTTTTTTTTTTTTTTTTTTTTTTTTTTTAAATCAGTAGCTCTGCCTCCTTGTTTCCCTGTCCCCATCTGTGTGGATCAGGCAGGTAGTTGGTGGCAGTACAGTGACAGTCAGCTAGCCAATAAGCAATTGAAGATTTTAGTGGCCACATTACCTCTGACCCACACGGTTATAATATTTTGCCCTGTTGTAGTTATTGAAGCTGTTGTCTTGACTCCTGCTGTGTACCCACTATGTTTAAGTCCTACAGACTTCTCTGTATCATCTTTTTTGTGTCAATTGGTATGGAAGTGGTTGATCTGTGAGGCTAGGAAACTGTAAATGCTTGTTGTTCTTTATTTTTCCTAAAGCTTTGGTTTTGTTAATTTGCAGTATTCTTAGAAAAGAGGTTATGCATTCTGTCTTTCGAGAAACCACTTCCTGGACTTTGGATTGTACCAGCATTTGGCATGTTGTTACTCATTCTGAATGGTACCTGGAGTCTTTCACAAATATCATTATGCTCTCAAGTCTTGACAGAAGGCAAATGTGCTATCTACCACAAAAGTAGTCTATTTGTTGTTTACTGTCCTGTTACAGGAAACTTTTTTCAAGACTTGAGATACAAAATGTGATCTTGTGCAAAAATCAATTCTCTTGTACTCTTGACCACAGGGCAAATAAGAGTGTAGGTGATGTTCAGTCACCATATCAGAAACTAGTTCTCTCTCCACGTATCGGTGAAAAAGTGAATCTTTACCAGAAAACTGAAGCTCTTGTTGAAAATAGCAATTTAAGCTTTTAGTGAGAATTTCATCTATCTAGGGCTACCTCAGAGAAGAATTATTTCTGGAATTCTGTAGAAGCAATCTAATGGGACCCAGCTCTCCATAAGGATCCACAATGTTATTTCATGGTCCTCACAAAATTTTCCTTTCTTTTGAGGTCCTACCTAACCATTTTAGGCTCAAAATAAAGGCATGAAGGCTTCTGTTCCATAGGGTCTCTGTCTTCTTCCCACTCAGCTGGAAGACAGAAGAATGAAGTGCTCCCCTCCCATTGATTCAGGACTGCAGCCCTGATGTTCCTGCTCTGTGTGAAGTGTTGCTGGGCCTCCACTTCCTCACCTGCAGTGGCTGAGCTTTGTGCAATTCACTGTGATATGTGAAAATAAGCTCATCTCTTTATTTACAAGTCACTCTGAAGTCTACATTGCATGTCAGCTTCTAAAGTGTTCTGAGTCCAACAGTGCTTCTGACCAGGCATTGGACATGGCAGCTCTCTGTGTGCTAATCCACGCAGATCCAGGAGTGCAGACAGATGTATTTGACAGCGGGGAGAAAAGAGGATAACAAGAATGTCACAACTGCATCTGGACTGTGCAGGTGAGGTTTCACTCTGTGACAAAGCCTGCCTTATTAAGCAAGAAATGTGTCTCAGCAGGGATGAGGCTCTTGGCATCCTCTGTCTGCTTCTGTTCTTTACATGTGTTGTTCTTGTTCCCATCTGCCAAGGACACAGCTGGAGAGGGCTGCCTGCTCAGGTGGTACCAAAGAGCTGCAGTCCTGAGCTCCTTCTGTAACTGTACATGCCATCACCTAAGAGATGGATGGACAGACCTGCCCTAGGAAGAGGCATTGTTCTTGTTCATGTGGCATGAAACAGTTTCAAGAGGAAAACTTTGCTGAACCTAGAACTACATTAGGAATAAGAAATTATGTCAATATCAGGACATTTTCTACTCAGCTAATCCAACTCATCCTTGCATCTCTCAACAAGTATTTAAAGTTTTTTTCTCTTCCTGTATGGCATCTTACATAAAGGAGGCCTTGCTCAACAGTTGCTAAAACATAGGTGAAACAAGCAGATATTTTGTACTGCCTCAAACAGCTAACAACTGCACTCTGTCTAAGAACAGTGAATCTACAGACAATATGCAGGCAAAGAAGTCAGCAACAGTGAGACCATTGTCAAGAGCATGGAGAGGGATAAATTTATAAGGTTCCCAATATGGCTTTGCTGCTAAATAGTGAGACTGAACATCAAGTTGTATGCATTAGAAGTGCAAAAGGTTTGTGTTACTGTGCTGCCTCTTCTCTGCTCTTACCCTTGGCTTTATTGGTGGTTGCACCTGTTCTTGTGGCATACAGAAGCCCTTGCAACAGATGAAAGTTTTCTTCAGCATGTACCTGAATATTCTGCCAGGTTATGCTACTGCCCAAAGTAGGCAATGAAAGATGAAATACAAGTGACCTAGGAATGGAGACTACACAATCCCTGGCCTGCAGGCCTCTGGAAGGCGAAGGGCCTCCTTAGAGCTGGAAATACTAAAGTGAGAGCTGTGCAAGGTACAGTGGGAGCTCATGCTATGTAGAGGCATTTTCCCTGTGTGGGGTATGGTAAAACCACTGCTGCTGACACGTGTAAGCTGAACTTTCCACAGATACATGCAAGTGTTCTGCAAAATGGGAAGTGCAAGTCAGGGGTGGCACAAAAATCACCAAGGGATTTTAATTCCTACATGTCAAATTTGTTCCTGATTTTCTCATACTACTGCATTGCCAAAACCAGAGACAATTGTGGATGCCCAAACCCTAGAAGAGTTCAAGGCCTGGCTGGATAAAGGCTTTGTGTAGGTTGGTGTGGTGCAAGATGTCCCTCCCCATGACAGAGGGGTTGGAACTAGATGATCTTTAAGGTCGGCTTCAACCCAAAGCATTCTACAATCCTATGAAATGTCTCACCCAGGCAAATGTTCACCTGTTTGAAGAGGCAGCAGTTAAGCAGATGACTTGTGTGCAGGTGCAGTGATGCCTGCATGAGGCAAACCCCTCCCAAGTCTGTGAGCTTTGTAGGGTTTAGCTGTTGCACGTGTGTAAAGACATGACACTTGGGAGAGACACCACCATGAGTGAAGTGACCAGGGGGTGCAATGAGATATGCTGCATTCAGGGGTCTTTGTGCTGGAGCCATTTTCAGCTACAGGAACTTAAGTGGGAGATTACCTAGAACCCATCTAGTCTCCAGCAGCGTCCAGATGCTTCAGTCCATGGTGAAGAAGGCACAATAGCTAACCGCAGTCAGGGTAAGTGAACTTCTGCCTGCTGCTGGTCACAGTGCTGGAATCACCTTGCCCATCTGCTGAGGGACGAGCTGGGCTGGATGGGGAACGCGATGACCTCCCGCTCAGCCCGGCTGGGTGAGCGGAACTTCCCCCTCCTTACCCAGCACAAGGAGCGGGAGGCTCCGGTCGCCCCGTCGGAGCGGGCGGCTCCCAGTCCCGCCCCCGCCGCGGTGCAATGCTGGGGCGGAGCGCATTCCCGGGGCTATATCCACCGGTGAGGCGTGCGGGAGTGCCTCGTTTCGGGTCGCTCCCGGGGATGCTGAATATGGAAGCAAACGTTGACCCGTCGGAGCTGCAGCCGCTGGGGGAGTATGACTTCGAGAAGAACTTCAATCACCTGGCAGCCAGGAAATGGATGGAGGAGAATTGGTGAGAGGAGAGGAGGTTGCTGACCTGGTGCATTCCGGACCCTGGGTAGCCCTATCGGGTTCAGCTGCTTTTAGCAGATCAGGCGTGAGGATCTTCGGTTCCGAGAAAGAGGAGGTTGGGGGTCGCTGGCTGCATGCCTGAGGCTGTGGAGGATGGGATGCAGCAGCGCATGTGTCAGAGCAAACAGTGGTCCAGGTGGTGCTGCAGCTTGTAGGGAGGTGGTGATGTGGCAAGAAGACCAAGAGCACCCACGGATGGCCACTGCAGCCCTGGCACTGGCAAATAGGGCACTCAGCCCTGCCGTGCTGCACTAAAGCCTTGGAAGGAGTGGGATGTAACGCAAGGCACTTGAGTCTCTAGCTTACCTGAAACTGGCCTTTTTAGATATCCTGTACAGACATCTTCTACCTGTAGAGTCTCATGTGTAAAAGGATAAGGTGCATTGATGTGTTTGCTTTGGATCCTGCTCACAGGCTACCAGAACCTGCCTCATCCCATCAAGGTCTTGTGGAAATCTCCATGATGTAGCAGTTTGCTCTCTGTTGTACAGTCCCCAGGGTTCTTGCTTGCTCACTGCCAGGGCAGGCTTCTTGTGACCAAACCCAACTTAACACAAGAATAGGAGATCTTTTGTTTCTTGGTGAGAATACTTTCTGGGGCTACAGAAGTCTGGCTAAAAGTAGGTCAGTTTGGGCCTTTTCCTGACTGTTCCCTCTTCTCTACTTGCAGGCAAAAGTCTTTTATTTTTGCTGTTATTTATTTCATCGTGATCTTTGGTATCCAGCATTTCATGAAGGAACGGAGGCCCTTCAATCTGCGTACACCACTGATCCTGTGGTCCTTCAGCCTGAGTTTGTTCAGGTAAGAGGCTTTGCTAAATCTGGAGACAGCTGTAGACCTTCCCTCAGAACTAGATTGATGGAAAGTTCTGGTTATCCACTATGTCACTAGGGAAATAAATTTTTCCTCTTGAAGGCCCTTTCCACCTAGGGGAGTGACCTGCTTTATACAAGTCATTTATTTCTCACCAGAAATACTCCAGCAAGTCCAATGAGTTTCAAAAGGATCACTGGTGAGAGTGCTTGAAAATCATTAGTGGGTAGATTTGAAAGTGAAGCCTGCAAGAGCAGACATTTTCCCTCACTCAAAGGGTGCCTGCCAATTACAAGTTTATTTGAGGTATATTTCTCTTTAAAATTTAGATTTCTTTCTCTTCCCCTGCACCCCCCACCCCCCATTTCTCTAATCCCATTGTGTAGGAGGTGGGGAAAATTCTGCCACGCTCACAGAAGCACAAAAGATTAGTCTAAAATGTGTTTCCAAATTGTCCAGTCTTATGGTAAAGGTTTCCTGCAGTGGCCATGAAAATGTTTCAGCCCATGCTCTGTATTTATACAAGCAGATGTCAATTTTAGAAAATTCCCCTCATCTCCACAACTTTTGCTGTATATTTGGTGGGAAAAACTAGACTACTGCCTTTGTAACTCCAATTGGCTTTGACAAGGTCAAAGGGACACTGGTTGACCTCTGTCAGGGTAGGGTATGTCAGTGGTCTGTAAAATCACATGCTGTGGGAGAGGGGAGGTCAGGGGATAGCTGTTCATGGTCTGTTCAGAGACAAGCTTGTGTGAATGAAACATACAGGTTGATAACAAAGAAAAACGGTATTTCTTATAAGCTGCAGGAGTTACCTGCCACAGGAGGTTATAAGTGCTCCCTGTGCCTGTCCTGTGGGCCCATGTCAAAAGGTGAACATCAGCAAAATTGTCCTCCATTTCTCATCAGGGAGGGCAGCTTCTGCCCTTGTGCCTCTTCAAGCAGGGGGTGTAATGAGGAAGCACTCTTTGATGCTGCTTTGTCTTGCAGGAATAGGCTTTAAATCCTGGATAAAACTTGTTAGAAAGTCTAAGAAGGCAAAAGTTTGTTTAAATGTCTCTGAGATTGCCCTGACCATCAAGATGGGGTCAACTGAATATCCATGGATGCAGAGCTGTCAGAGGCTATGTTGAGGCCCTGGGCACAATGTTTAGCTCTCTTCTGGTTTTCTTGCAGTTTGTTTGCAGCCTTTCGGGTCTGGAAGCAGATGGCCTTCCTCCTCCTTACCAAGGGATTTAAGCAATCAGTGTGTAGTCAATCTTTCTATATCCACCCCGTTTCCAAGCTTTGGATGTATCTATTTGCCCTGAGCAAACTTGTCGAAATGGGTGAGTCTGAAACTTCTCCTTATCCCATGTGTTTATAACCACTTTGCTTTTACAAGTAGATTTTCTTTCACAGAAACATCTGTCCAAATGTTACTTGGAGAAAAGAGCTGCTTAGCCTTGCATATGTCACTCATTTTGTTGCTCCCTATTGCTCAACTCAGATGATATGCTTGCTCCCCTTGGGGTTGCAGCCTGATGTTACTGTTGTAGTTTGATCCCCAGGCCAGTGCCTGGACTAGGCAATTCTGCTCTGGAATGACCATGGCGAGGGGACAGCAGACAGGCAGGGAACTGTGCTTTCTGCACAGTTTTCATAAAAAGTAAAGAGCCATTTAGAAATGCAGTGCAGGTAGATCTGGGAAAGCAAGCTTGGGGCTAGGGGCTCTTATACTACAAACATGCCAGAAGGTTTTTTTTCAGAAGGTCTTTTTCAATACAGATGATTTCAATGGGAACCTAAGTGTGGGATCAAACCACATAATGGCTTGAGCATTGAAGCTTGCTCGGTCTGTTTCATGTGAAAACTTGTGCAACTGCTGTGCTTTCACTTGATTAATGATACACCTCTACCCCAACCCCAGGTGACACTCTGTTCATTGTTCTCCGGAAAAAGAAGCTCATGTTCATCCACTGGTACCACCACCTTTTAACGATGATTATGAGCTGGTATGGCTATAAGATTATGGCCATTGGTATGGGGTGGAACGCAGCCTTGAACCTCAGTATCCATTTTGTGATGTACTTGTACTACACTGTAACAGCCATGGGCTTCCGAGTACCCCGCTCCATCACCATGCTAATCACCACTTCACAGATGGTGCAGATGACAGGATTTGTAATAATGAACATCTTTATCGTCTTCTGGATGGATGATAAGCTCTGCCAAACTACCTGGACAATGCTTTTCCTTTCATCGAGTTTGTATACCACTTTATTGGCCCTCTTCTCCAACTTCTTCGTGAAAGCTTACCTGAGTAGCAACCAGAAATCAAAGTTAAATTAAATTAATGCTTAATTCAAGCATCTCTGTCCTGCAGAGTATGTCAGGCATTGCCAATTGTCCCAGCCCATCCCAATGTCATGGGCTGGGAGTCTCAGAGTCAACTTGTCTCTGGGTGCATGTTCCATTGGGTGATGTGTTAAAACAACTAATAAATACTGTCATGTATTGATTGATTTGATGCCTTTTTCATACTTGACCTTTGTACAGAATTGTGAGAGGAGTGCTGCCTTCACTATCTTGACACTGTGTCTTCCTGAGGGTTAGCAACATGCCCAGCAGGCTGTCCCTTTGTGCTTACCCCTTCTGCAGGCATCAGCCTGTTGTGCTGCCTGAGTGCCTTTGCTCACCACTAGGGAGCCAGAAGTGAAAGAGAGATGATAAAAAATTCAGGCTTTTGTTTTACCATCTGAAATGAGCACATCAGTGTGCTTCATAAAACGAAGATGTGCCTCAGAGCCTCAGTCTTAGGGTCCAAGCCTTTAGGCGGGTGTTGGCTCCTACCTGGTGAATGAGATTTGGGCTTTTAAGGCAGGGGACTGGAAATTTACCACAGGGATCTGGGCTGTACTTCCAATGCTGGGAGATGGCAGCAGCCTTTGCCCTGTCCAGCCTTCCCTGACAAGGGCTCCTGCTCTGGACTTGGCAGCATGTTGGGTAGTGGTGTAATAGCACCTTCCTCAGCTGTGGGAAAGGCAGGAGCAGTCAGCTGAAGTATTGGGGAATAAACTGGCTTCCACATTTAGGTCTCTTCAGAGAGGGGATGGAGAACATACGGGAGTAATGGGGTAGTCTCTCTCCTGCATGGTGCTATTTGGGGCACTTTCTGTAACAGCTGTGGTCCTGGTAAAGCAACTGCCAGCTCTCCAATCTGTCTACAGCTGCCCCAGGCATGCTCCCTCAGCTGTGTTGGGCATCTGTGCTGATACACAGAATCACAGAAACATCAAGGTTGGAAGAGACCTTTAAGCACATCAAGTCCAACCATCCACCCAGCGCTACCACTGTAACCCCTAGACCTCTAAACCACATCACTCAGCACCAGGTCCTGATGCCTCTTAAACACCTCCAGGGTGGTAACTCCACCACATTCCTGGTCAACCTATACCAATGCTTGACCACCTTGCCAGTGAAAAATTTTTGTAATATCTGAGTTTCCCTTGTCTCAGCTCTAGGCCATTTCCTCTTGTCCTCTCTGCAGCCACACAAGAGACCCGTCCTCACTTCACTGCAACCTCCTTTCAGGCACTTGTAGAGAGTGATGAGGTCCCCCTGGAGCTTCCTCTTCTTGAGACAAAGCAAACAGAGCTGCCTCAGCCATGCCTCGTATGACAAGTTTTCTAGATCTTTCACGAGTATTTCTGGACATGCTTTAGCACCTCAATGCCCTTTCTGAAGTGAGTGGGCCAGAACTGGAAAGCAGTACTTGAGTTGTGGCCTCACCAGTGCCAAGTGCAGGGACACAATCCCTTCCTTGGTCCTGTTGGCCACACTCTTCTTGCGATAGGCCAGGGTGCCACTGGCCTCCTTGGGCACCTGGGCACATTGCTGGTTCATATTGAGCCTAAGTCCTTTTCTTCTGAACAGATTTCACGCCACTCCTTCAGGAGCCTGTAGCTGCACCTGGAGTTGCTGTGACACAAGTGCAGGAACCAGCACTTCATCTTATTCAACCTCCTGCAGTTGTCCTTAGCCAATTGATTGAATCTGTCCAGGTGTCTCTGCAGAGCCTTCCTACCCCAGAGGAGATCAACACTCCCACCCAACTTAGTGTCATCTGCAAATTTGCTGAGGGTGTACTCAATCCCCATGTCCAGATCATCAATAAAGCTGTTAGGACTGGCCCCAAATCAGAGCCTCAGGGAACACCGCTAGTGATTGTCTGCCACCTGCATTTACCTCCATTCACCACAACTCTCTGGGCCTGGCCAGACACAAAACATTGAAGAAATGGTGAGTTCACAGTTGCTCTTTTTCTTCCTAAACTGCCTGACATGGTCTTGGTGCTTCAGAGGTGCTGCTCTATGGCATGAGGTGAGCTGCCTAATCCACCTTGCTCCGCAGGCTCTGCCCCCACTCAGCAGTGAAGAGCAGGGCTCTGGAGGCAGGGCTCTGCATCTCCAGAAGGCTTCAGCTAAGACTTCTTTGTAGATCCTTCCATGCAGGCTGCTGGAGTGGAAGGTATCTTTCAAGGGGCAAGAATCAACCCAGTAGAAGGAGGGTTTGCAGAGAGTGTCTTGCAGGAACCCTCTCTTCCCCTCCAAGAGGCATTGCAGCTTTCAAATAGCCACATCCCTCCACACAAAATGAGGATACTGCCTTTCCAAATGCTGTCAGGGGGCCTTGCCTTATCCCCCCCGTGTCCTGTGCCTTCTCCAGGGAATGCTCACCATCAGCCAGCCCAGCATCGACCTCTTTGGTCTGCTGTTCTCTCTGGCAAAAGAAGAGAGAAATAAACTTCACAGACCTAGCTAGGCAAATCTTTCACATTGTTGTTGTTATTTGGTAAGTTGTCTGGAGTGCCTACCTGTGGGTGTGAGGAAGTTGGTGCTTTCTGGGGCTTGGGGGCTAATAATAGCACCCTCCTTTCCCAGGTCAGTGCTATTTCCCTGAAGCTTCCTAGAAATGTCTTCTCCTGATACTCTGTGAAGAAAAATCCTTCTTATGTGTGCTGGCGAGCTGAAACAGACAGCAGGCCTACTTTGGAGGGGATATATCTTGAGGTTTTGTCTATTTTTGTTACGTTGGGTTTTTTTTACTTCGAGGGCACAGAGAGCAATCGGTTGCCTCCCTTGGAGGAATCATTGCTCAGGGGGAAGCCGTGGTCCCCGCTGAAGGTGTCTTTGAGGATCCTTGCACAGCGGGAGCAACTTGTTTTAGGGGCGGATGAAGGGATGCGCAGAGAGTGCAGGATGCAGGGGAGCAGCCCTGCAGCTCTGACACGGGCCGGGCAGAGGACGTGCTGCAGGCACGGAGATGCGGCGGGGGCGGGAGCAGATGGAGCTCCAGGCTGCGAGAGCTGGTGAAGCCGGGCTGGGGAGTGGGTGGGAGCGAGGGGGACGGTTTTTCCCGGAGGCCTTGTGGGTGTCCCGCTAGTGGGAATTTTTTCCCGGAGGCTGTGT